AACAGGAGGGTGGCGCGATACCCACCCATTTCCTATAAAAGGGGACCGGTTTTGAGACATCCTCAGTCTTTCCAGAGGGCTCAGTTTGTGAGAGTGTTCTGCTTTTGCTGAATACTTGAATAAACTTACACTCTGTGCATTTTATCCTTGTCCAAGGCTGATTCTTCTTAACTGTTGTGACCCTTCTCATTTGAACTTCTGCTAAACATTTTTGTGTTATCCAAGACATTTTTGCATCCATCTGCCGAGAAGGACGACTACAACACCATGATGAACTGGATGTGACACATGTTCATTTCCAACAAGTTTACCTTTTGTCTAACTGCAAGTACATATGGTTCTATAGTAACATTGTTGCTTTCAGAGCAGAACAGAACCCCTGATCATCTCATGACCATTTCACGGCCCCATCAGAGGTGTCTTATCTAACAGCCCCACCGGGAGGGGGGCCCTCTGTGATTGGTCGGTTATTTTACTATTAAAAAGCCTCTTCACCTGAAAAGCAGCAGCATTCTCTAACTGCAGTAGAGCTGCTCAGTTGGTCTTCCATGTTCTCAGCTTTGACTGCCACACCCAGATCTTCCCGCTCTGGAGCTGAAGGCCTCGTCTCTCCATCAGGCATCAGACGTCACTGCATCCGCATCCCAATCCAAGGACGCGGCAAGTATTGAGCTTTCATCTCTAAACGGGTGTTTCATGATTACAATTGGCCCTTCAACCAATATTCCAAATTTAACAGATTATCTGCTGCTTCGGGTGAAAAGACTTTGAAGTCTCCATCACTCTGTTCCACATTCGGTTTTTCACACTCATACTCTCAACCAGCATTTTAATCATTGTTTGTATTTTATATTTTGTGTTTGTTGTTGTTATTTGTTAGTTTCGTTAGTAATAAATGTTTTCGTGCGTACACAGTTGTTTCCGGTGTTTTCTATATCTTACATTCAGTCACTTTACGTATGAGATCTTTAAGTTACCGAAGCTCTAAGTTAGTTCCCTGAACTTTACAAAACACTCTTGACTGATCACCAGGAGTAAACAGTTAATTAGAATTATTGTGCTGACTCTGAAATTATATCGGTGGACGATTGATTCAAAGGTTGGTTTTAATCATTTTAATTCATGCAATCATTTGCTTTGGTGTGAAAACAGGTACATCTTATTTTCTAACCTACAAAAGACTTTATGATTTAAAATGCTATATGCTGTGCTACAAAAATGATGATTGTGTGATTAAATTGAAGTGATGATTCTCACATAGGTAGTATATAACCAGATAATCAGTACAGTTAAGCTGATAATTCTAAACATTATGGATTTGAGATGTTTTAGATGGTTTCCAGCAGAATTCATGATAAATTTAAAGGAGCAAGTGAGGACAGTGTTCTTAAAGACAGGGTGAAATGGGACAAGTCACATGAGGCTGTTAGTCACAGGATGATTGCAAGATGAGCCCATCACTAAAGTAGCCCATTGATCCTCTTTTGATAAACAGAGGTTCCTCTTTTTGTAAACAGATGGCTCTGAAACATCCTGTGTT